GCCTGAACAACATCCCCTTGTGAGGAACCTGTTGCTCTCTTAACTGAAGCCGCAGGTCTAGCGTTTCTATGAAGCTTGCCCAACATGCAAAGTCTTGCGGGCTAAAGAAACTGCTTGAACTGAATTCCAACACGAGCCTTGAAAGCACAAGGGCCGGCATGTTTGCGGCGTCGCTAGTCCTACAAGGCAAGCGTCCAACTCAAAAAGTCTGAGCTAAAGGCAAAACCGTTAATGGGGTACCCAAACAAGCCAAAATGCAACCAAGCTTAGAACCCGGAGCCTCTTCCACAAACTTCTGCGATACTTCTGCGAGCACCCGCGGGCCCCTCCCATAAACCCCTGAAGCCAAGAGCGGCACCGCGAACCCAAGCAAATCCTGCAAAGCCCCCGGGACTTCTGCGATCCACTGCGTCAGGCAATCTGCATCCAGACTGCGTTCTTTATTGGCTTTTCTCTGAGCGCATGTGCAGGCCAGCAGAGGAAAGTTTGTCGGGCCCAACCGCTCCGTGCTTTGCTCAAGTCAAAGCAACACGCCGATGCCCAACACTCCACCTGCAAGCCTGAGCATATTCGATTCCAACCAGGCTGTTGCGAGATGCGAGAAGCCAATGAAGCACATGCTACGCCAAGACTGCACGCAGTTGAACCCCAACGCATGCCAGCAGCTGCCCAATTGCTGCGCTGCTGTCGCCAGGCAAGCTGTCCAACTCAAAGGTGGCGCATGTGCAATCCAGTGCTTTGTCTGGCAGTGGTCCGAGGCTGAAGCTTGCCATGTTCAGGGCAGGCTGCTTGGGTCCGAGTGATCTGTGCGTTGCTCAAGTCAAGGCAACGCGGCGCTGATGCAGTCCGAACTCCTGCACGCAACATAATCTCAAGTTGAAGCTACCTTCATGCGAATCTGGCAACTGAAGGAAATGCTTGAAATGAGTCCCAGAACGTGCCAGCCTTGAAAGTGTAAGGGCTGGGAAGTTGTGGCAAGGCCATAGCTGCAGCAATGCAAGCCGTCCAACTCAACCGGTGCAGGCGCGTGCGCAGGCCAGCAGTGCTTTGTCTGCTGGTGGCAGCAGTCCAATGCTAAGCTTTGCCACAGGGGCGCCACATCTGGGGTGAGACCGCGGAGCGGCGCTTTGCTCAAACCAGGGCCACGTGATACTCGAGATGATCTAATGTAACATGCCTCTAGCGGCAAGTCACGACATAATTCAAACGTAAGGGTCGTACAGAATTCTTTTGCAAAGCCCTGCAGTTCAAACCGACGCGCGGTCTGGCCACCTCAAGGGATGCTGCCAAGGAAACCTTTTCAGGAAGGCCTTGCCAACTCATCCTGTGGCCATCTCCCTTGTCGAACTGGCTAGGAAGCCTTCACACACACTGGGCGAGAGTAAACCTACCCCTGGTTCAATCATTGGCGCAACATGTTTGCAGCCCAGGCGCTGGGCAAGCATGTCTTGCAACAGCATGATTGTCAATGGGCTCAAAATATACTTCCCTTCGGCATGGGACCTGTCCAAGCCAAGGTGCATGTTCGAATGGAGGCCAATACTTAATACGTCGGCTTGGGCCAAACTGATTTCGGCGGCGTGTTGGAACAAAGCTGTGGCTTCGCCATCTCCGGTATGTGTTTGCCGTCTTGCTTGGCAAAAAAAGCCAGCTGCAAAAAGCGTGCAAAACAAGCACCTTGGCCCCTGAGAAGGTGCCAGCTCCAAAAGCAGGGAGGGAAGTTCCGTGTGGTTCATGTGGGGCTGACAAGCATAGACATACAGTGTGTGTGTGTGTGTGTGTGCGCGTGCGCGTGCGCGTGCGCGTCTGCGTGTCACTCGGTGTGCGTGTGCGTGTGCGTGTGCGTGTGCATGTGCGTGGGCGTGCGCGTGCGCGTGCGTGTGCGTGTGCGTGTGCGTGTGCGTGTGCGTGTGCGTGTGCGTGTGCGTGTGCGTGTGCGTGTGCGTGTGTGTGTGTGTGTGTGTAGCTCCAAGAGCAGGAAAGCCTTCCGGATGTTCTTATCATGTAAGCAGGCTGAAGAACAACAGTATGTGATCGAAATGCGTTCCTCATTTCAAATCGCAATGGCCTGCAAAAATGCGCTGCCAATGTTTGCTATCCGACATCTTGATCTGTGTAGTGAAACGTATGCAGAATTGGAAGCTTGTCAAAACGAACGACTCCTCCAAACTGTTCGCTTCACGTTGGCTGCCCCTTTGACATGGACGAACAGGGAATGCTCAATTGACTTGACTGTCAAGCTGAGCTTGTAGTACTGGAGGGATCTGAAAGGTGTGACTGAAGATACACTCAACTACTGATGCTCATGGCAATTGTAGCTGACACATGTGCTGACATTTGGGGAATGAGCGTGTGTCCATTCGGCTCACAAACACACAAATGAATACAGAACAAACAAACGGACAAACGAGCGAGCAAGCAAGCAAACAAACACACAAACAGACAAACAAACAAACAAACATGCGGTTCACAGAGACACTTTGGCCAATATCCTGCTCGGGTATACCATGCATAGGTGGCCTCACCTGCTGCCGGTGGCATTCACCCGGTAGTCCCATGCAAAGGGTTCCAGTTTATGGTTACCCATAAAACTCAAACCCAGGATTTCTTGTAAACACATTTATGTTGGCATCCTTATAATGGCTATCGAAGTTTCCCTAAGTCTCCGCTGTGACCATCCCTACAAACAGGCAAAGGAATGGTGCTTTGACAAGGCGGTAATACTCGCAAAACACATAAATCAATCAATCTACCTTTGGTCCAGGAGTCAAGTAAATACATAGAAAAACATAGAACAACACATCAAATCAACTCAAATGTGCAGGCTACAACACATTTGAGTCCCACATTTACCTTGGAGCATAGCGGCATCTGGCAGATCTCTGGGTAGGTGATGGCCAGGCGGTAGCCCCGGTGGCCGAGCATCGGATTCGCCTCGTTTTTCTAAAGCAACCCTAAAGGCACCGTTTTTCCAGCAGCACACCCAACGCAAATATGCTCCAAGCCAACCCCAAATGCACCCAAAGTCAACCCTAAACCCGCCCAACAGCCGCCTGGATGTCAGCCCTAAATCAACCACAAGACCCACCCTAATGAAGATGTAAGCCAGCCTCAACCCCCCCTTAACTTAAACCAGCCCCCAGCAACTCCCAGCTGCCTTCCAATCAGAGCCAATAAAGAACTCCCGGGCCAATTGAGGCTGGTGATGCCGGGGATGCGGCAAGGCAACCAACCAACCCACCCACCCACCCACCCACCCACCCACCAACCAACCAACAGACCAACCAACAAACCAACCAACCAACTAACCAACCAACCAATGACCAACCCAGCCCTAGAAAAAAAAGCCAGCCCTAGGAAATAAGAAAAACACCGGATCCGGGCCCCGACCCCCCATGCCAACCATCTACCCTTGAGGTTTGTCTGGCTTTAGTGTCGGATCAACCCTTAAGACAGCACTTCAACTGCTACAGCCTCACCTTGTGCTAGGCGTTTCGTCATAGTAAGTCACCAGGCCCTGGGGTTCCAAAAGCGGTTTATTTTGCATGTTTTCTGTGAAAGGCGGTTTTTTGCCAGGAGTAGTTTTGTCCAAGCTCAGCTGATATCATTGAACAATTCGGGCGCCGCACGTGCTCAGGACCAAAGTGTGCAAAGACTTGACCTCCGTTCCCACAAAACAAGCAGAGGGATTACCAAAGGACAGGCTGAAACACATAGATTCACCGGTGTCAAAATTCACGGCAGAAAACGTGCTTTCACGCTGGAAAACAGGCTTTCACGCCAATTTCACGGTATTTTCACGGTGATTTCACGCTACTTTTGCTTACATCACGGACCGCTATGTTCACACCAAAATTGTTGTGTCAAGACATGTTGGGGTGGAACAGGCTTTGTAGAATCTAAACGTGGCAACAGTATGAATAATCCATCAAATACCACGCCATGGCTCATTGCAGGCGCAAAAAACAGGCTTTAGCTGCAAAAAACAGGCGAGGTGCAAAGGACGTTTAAAAAACAGTCGTGGATTTCCAGGGCAGGGGTTCCATCCATCTGGTTGTGCATTCTAATTCGGGACGCTTTGGTGGACACGTTTTAGGTGGGGATTCGTGTCCACCAATCACTTTGGAGGCTGTTCCCTATCAAAATGTTCTAGCCATCTCTAGTCAGCCCTATAGAGGTAAGACTACCTGACTTCTTACTATAGCGGCGAAACACCTGTAAGCTCTGGGGTTGGGTCAGAGCAAAGAAAAAAGTCATGAGCCCTTCATTCCAGAGGCACTTGGCTGACAATCACGGTCAACATCTACTTACTAAGTGGGTTTAGGGTACCCCTTTTGGAGTAGCTTGAAAGGGAAGCCAAAAGGAAACTCAGCATTTTGGGGGGGTCCCCCAATTTTAAGACATACCCAGAGCACTTTCCTCTCCAACCCCGATCCGAGAATCTCAGCGCGGCGGTCGGCCTCACCAGCGCCGAAGTAGACCCACTTCATGGTGAAGAAGTTCCGTGGGTCGGAGGCTAGGGCTTCAGTAGCTTCGAGGACTCAAAAGGCTCACAGCCGGAGACGGGGCAGAACGAAGGGAAAATGCAGATGGAGCCCGAGAAAACCATCAAATTTCAGGAATATCGGTTGTTCCATGTTGAATCGAGTCAGGGAAGACGGAAATTATGAGATGGAACCCGAGAAAAACATATGACATTTGAGGAATCGCGGTTGTTCCGCGTTGGTGACAAAGCACCCGAAATCTGCGATACTGAATGGGACTTTGCTGGGATACTGGTTGTGTCAAAGCGCCCGATTTGTTTGATACCCAATGGCCCATCACCCTAACGACTTTATCACTTGAAGGGGGTTCGCAGTTCTGCAATCATGCAAGGGCCAGAAATGGGAACTAAGTTGGCCATGTTTGCCTTATAATAAGCCGTATTATTCCCCGAACACTCGGGGTTTTGACAGGTGGTTTGCTCCATCCCTTGCAATGAGTCAAGCTCGGAAGAATTTGCGCGCACCTCTCTGGTCTGCGGTCTGTGATAGCCAAGTCATGCTGCCTGCACAGGGCATTCCACGACCTGAAGTGAACGGCGTCTTGACGCAAACTGAGCTCAGTCCGTCCTTGCAGCGTCCCTACCATACTTCAGCCCAGTGCTTCCAGGCAAGCGACCATGGCAAGCAACCAGGGAAAGCCAGAGTAGAACCTAGAGGTCAAAAGCAAACCGGCCATCTGCCATAGTGGTTGCCAAGCATCGGGCACCATAATTCAGGGTGAAGAAGCTACGTAAATGCTTGCACCGCGCCCACTGTACAGAAGGAGCGGGCACAAAGCCCTACCACTGCTGTTGTGTGGCAGAAAAGCAAGCGCCATTCAAAGCCGGGCTTGCCAAAACTGGGGAGCCGCTTCCATCCATCTTGGGTAGACTTTCAGCGGGCTCCAAAACTGAACAAAGGCCTCAGCCGGAAGCTGAGCCAGTTTCCGTATGAATCATAGCAAACCTGCGCCAGACTTAGCCCCCCTCAGAAAGTCATTCTTTGCTTGGCTGAAAGAAGCCAAACCCAAAAAAAACGAAAAATAAAAACAATAATAACAAAAAGAGCTCAGCCCAAGTCTGGCCATGAAACCTGACCCTTCGGGCAAAGGCCCGAAACAAAAAACAAGCGCGCCGAAAAGCCGCCGCCGAACACCCCACGTCCATCGCGTCCCTCACCAGGGGCCGTAGACGGGCACCCGGGGTCTGGCGGCCTGGGTGGAGGCCTGCAACGACTTCTCCTCGGCGCTTTCGCCCGTCGTTGTTCTCGCGGGTGAAATGTGCCGCGAGGTGGTGCGGGGAATGGGAAACGGGATGGATCCGAACATGGGGCCGTCCCATATTCCGAAGGTGGTTTCCTGGTGGTTTGGCGGTAAGAGATGCGGGGAAGGAGAAATGGGATCCGAAGATAAACCGCTCCAAACTGGTGGTTTCCTTTTGAGGGGACCAATGGGAAATGGGATGATCCGAATACAAACCGTCCCTTGTTGTTTTTTTAGGGGCCAATGAGAAATGGGATGATCCGAATACCTGGGAAGATCCATGACCCTGCAAAAATGGGGTTCTTACCCCAAATACAGGGATCATGGACCCATCTTTAAAGGGTCATGGAGACTTCAGGTATGACCGTCCATTGTAGTTTCCTTTAAGGGGACCAATAGAAATGGGATGATCCGAATATGGACCATGCCACTGGCGGTTTCCTTTAAAACGGGACCAAAACCTTCGTTCATTCAACCAGATTTCCTGAGCACCGCGAGATGTCTCTCAAGCGAGAGATATTCCCTGATTCCCTGAGCACCGCAAGTTTGCTCTTAAGCGAGAGAGAGAGAGAGACCGAGAGAGAGGCAGCGAGGTGGTTGCATCACATCCGGTCACGCGACAAAAAATGGGGCCATGTTCAAGGACGCCGGTCCATGTGTATCCACAAAGACGATTTTGGAGGAGACACCGGGTGTTCTTGAATTTCAAGGGACAACCACCCCAAAGATTGGCACACGAAGACTGAAAAGAACAAACAACAGTCAAACAAAGTGAATGTGCTTCCAGAAACCACTATAGTAGGAAACTAGTGGGAATGTAAACCTGCAGTCAAAAATACTTGGCTACCTCTCTGACCAGTAGGGGTCCTCCCGAGCAATCCGAAGTCGACAACGGGAGCGCCATTGTATAAAACCCGGAGGCAAATTGGATAGCAAATCCTGGCTGCCTACTATATTTTTGTGCCTAGAAGTACTGGGAACAAATGAACACAACGTCCATTTGTTTAAGTCCCCTGGAGAACAAAAAACAAACATATTTCAAGAAAAGTGAGATTTCAATGCAAGAAAAGTGATACATTTCTTTGAACACCAAGAGGAGAAAAAGCAAAATATTCCAAATTCCAAAGCTGGAAAACACTAAACCGTGGGGTGGCCACGGTGTTCGCTGAGCGGCCCCTCTCTGTTGCAGCGCTGCTTGCGCGGCGGCCAGGCGCGCAATGGGCACTCGGAAGGGCGAGCAGCTCACGTAGTCCAGGCCAACCTGGCGTCTTGATCATACTGTGGATGGACCAAAAACAAGTTCGCACCACCCAAGACACCCAGTTATGTTCCAACACTGTGGATGGGCAAAATTCTGCACCAGCTCAGAAACCCCGGAATGATGACTCTCGCGTAAAATGATGATTTCCCTGTAATACCAACAAGCAACGGGTTCCCAAGGCTCCGTGGCGGTGCTGCGAATCGCGGTTGCGAGTCATCCAGAAATCGATAAAAGACCACCGCCAGCAACCCAACGGAAGGATTCGAGTCCCCGGTTACCAGCAAAGAATGGCTTCAAGCATGGCTTCAAAGTGGTGCAGCATTGTGTCCATCCACGGCAAGTAAGCCCGGAACTCAAAACTCTCCAAGTCTCGCTTCCGATCGAGTGGATTGGCCAAACATATTGTCCGAACTGTTTATTTACCACTAAAATGGTTACCCAGTTGAAAGTTCAGG